TTAGCATCAATATAATAAAGGCCTGAAGTGTAGTTGACTTGTGCGATACAAGTACTGTCTGCATGTTGCATTGGACCTCCCTTGGCATTTGTTGCAAAAAAAATTCCTTCGGACGCAAGAGCCGAGACCGATATCAAGGTACATCATAGGTTGGGGACATGTAGGAAAGGCAACTCAATAGGTTCCCAGCTCATGCCATTGTTCAGCGCTAGTTTTATAATTCCCCAACCAGGGGCAAAAACAATATCATCATTTGCGAGTTTGACTATTATGGGTGGGTCATAGGCAGAATAACAAGTGAAATGGGAAGAGTCCGATTCCATATGTGTGGTTGCAGCAGAATCTACATGGAACATGAAGGAAATAGTGCTCGTATTAGAAAGGCTTGCAGAATGTGTCAAGAGATGAAGAAAGGATGTGACCTGTGCGCTTGCAAGATCCGCATGTCGAACGCCATGATAACTCCCACTTATCCCCCTTGGAAGCATCAAAATCCTTCAGCTTGGCACGTTCAGTGGGTTTACCTGCTTTTGCCACCCTAGCAGCCATGGCTGTATGGTGCGTGTGCGGGTTTGCGGAGCCAAAGCTCACATAGTACTGTTTCGAGTTCCTAATCTGGCTGATTACACCTTCCAGCGTTAGCTTTCCAGCATTGGCATCAGCGCTGTGGAGTATGAGCTGGGAGAGTGGGGCGTAGAAATCAGTGAGGGCACGCAGTAACGCTTGAATGAGCGTATATTCATTGCACTTCCATTCCGTAGACTCGATGACCTTGAACTGCGCCTTAATGTCCGTGATTTCCTTAATGGTCTTTGTGAGAGTGTCACTATCAGACGCTTTCAGAAGGTCAAAAACGCGGCCCATGAGAGTTGTAAAACGTATGCCAACGGACGCCTGGTATTTCTCTTCTAGTGCTTTCCAGATGGTTGCTGGGTCAGTGGCACCCGTAAAGTGAATGAGATCACTCGAGTGGACCGCCATACCGAGGAGTCCCTTGGTTATACTTTGGTGTTCTCGGAAGGAAATGACATCCGCGCTCGCATCATGGGCTGTGAGACGCTTGTTGAAGTCATTGTCAGTCTCAGTGGTGCCTTTGCTTGGGCGCTGAGGGCCCTTCTCATCACCGGTAAGGAGGCGCCAAAGATTGAAGAGCAAGAGCCAAAGGTCCATGGATGTTACCCACGAGGTGTAGTTGGAGCCATTGGCATCCAGAGGAGGATGAGGGAAGGAGGTAGGAATCCGGATATTGGATGATGAAATGGTGAACATCGTGGATGGTATGGAATGGTGTGTTGGTGATGGCGACGATAGGATAGGAAAGATGGGTAGCTTAAGTAATGAACAAGTCGGGAAAACGGGGGTCAGCGGTGGTGACAGTGGTAGGGGTATGCCAAGGATCCGCGGGTTCAAGTGGTGATAGAGGTTGGTATTGTTCCAGTTCGGATAAAACCGGAAGGCTCAGACTTCAACAAGTGGAAGGGTAAAACGAATGGAAAGTTCTAGTCTGAGCCAGGGCTCATAACCTCTCAAAAAAGAGAGGCTCGGACTAGAGACTACTAGGAACTAGGAACGAGGGAGAAACTCAGTCTTCGATTGAAGGACTATATACAGTGGCTCAAAAAACCGTCCGTATGTTTTGGCATTTTTCACTATCTATAATATTGTGTGAGAACAAACAAATGCCTCAAAAACATGCTTATACCACATTGTAGTATGGCTTCAGGGCTTTCATTTGAGCCCTACACCGTGGGAATCGGTGGAGATATGGTGGAGATACAAGGCTCACAAAATGGTGACTCATGCGGACAGTTTTTTGACTCAAGTATTTTACAGTAATAACCAGGTATTCTAGTATTTTGTATGACCTCCCTTGGCTTTAATTACTGCCTCTATCCTTCTAGGCATACTCTCAATTAATTTCTGGCAATCCTCAGCTGTGATCTTCCCCCATTCCACTGCTACTCTCTCCCAAAGCTCCCATACTCCTTTAGGGGGGTTTTCATAGGCTTGAAGCTTTTTCTTGAGTGTTCCCCAGAGATGTTCAATGACATTGACATCAGGAGACTGTGCTGGCCAGTCAAGAACATTGATGTTATGTTCTTCAAACCATTCCCTAGCTCTTCTGGATGTGTGCTTGGGATCATTATCCTGTTGGAAAATGATATCTTCTTCATCAATCCCTGATTCTGCCAAGCTAGGCAGCAAGTGGTCATTTAAAATGTCCACATACTGCTCAGCATTCATCTTCCCCTCAACCTCAGCAAGCATTCCCACACCATTCCATCCCATACAGCCCCATACCATTAAAGAACCTCCTCCAAACTTGACAGTCCCATTAACCTCTCTGTCTGTTAGGCCATCTCCCTTCTTTTTCCATACATACACCTTCCCATCTGACCCAATCCTATTGATTTTGGTCTCATCTGACCATATAACATGCTTCCAGTCCTCTACAGTCCAGTGTTGATGAGCTAAGGCAAAGGCTAGTCTTCTCTGCCTATGTTTGATGGAGAGAAGAGGCTTTTTCTTCTTTGTTACTGCCTTGAGATGAGCTGCCTTGAGAACATTCCTCACAGTTTGTGAAGAGACAGGGGTAGTGATGGTGGAATTGATATAATGGGTGGCTTGGACAGCATTATCAGCCTTTCCTGTAGTGATATGTTGGATAATAGCCCTTTTGTCAGTAGAGGTAAGCTTGGATGGACGTCCTCCACAAGAGTTTTCCTTGTCTGGGTGGCTTTCTTTGATGAACTTGGCCACAGTGGACTTGCATATTCCAGTTCTAGAGGAAATTTGGCGAGCAGAGAGGCCAGCATAAGACAGAGAGAGGATATTATCTCTTTGAGCAGAGGAGATGGCTTTCATGGTGATTATGACTATGATACATGAGATATTCTGGTTTATATAGTTAGATATAGTCATAAAATAACATAATGACACCACTTTATAATTTATATAATAGTGGCATGATTTTTATGGTGTCATAAATAATGATTTATATAGTTTTAATATACACTCAAAAAACTGTCCACATGAGTCATCATTTTATAAGCCTTATATCTCCACCATATCTCCGCCGATTCCCACGGTGTAGGGCTCAAATAAAAGCCCTGAAGCCATACTACAATGTGGTATAAGTATGTCCTTGAGGAATTTGTTCATTCTCACACAATATCATAGATAGTGAAAAATGTCAAAACATGCGGACAGTTTTTTGAGCCACTGTATGACGACATAGTGCATACCTAGGAACAAGGGAGAAACTATGTAGGTTATCAGAGACTGTATAGTAGGCTCGTATATGAAAGAACTCACCTCAGTCTTTGATTGAAGGACTGAGGGGAGACAATTCCAAAGGAAGAGGAATAAAAGGCATCGTTGAGACGGAGAACGAAAGGACAATGTGTAAGATGAGTGATAGTGTATGTCAAAGGAAATACGTATGAAGAACGTGTTGTGATACATCTTGCAGGGCTGAATTAGTTTGTTGGGTAGCAGAGAGCCTGCGACCATTTGACATTGTCAAAGATAGAGCATTCCAGTGTTTAATGAAGACTGGGAGGCCTGAATATTACATACCTTCCCACGAACTATCTCGCGTGATGTGAAACTCATGTTTGCATGAACATGCAAGCAAATTGCTGATATGTTGGGATTGAGTCAGTTTTCATTTGTTTAAAGGTTTAAAAAGAAAATAAATGATGTACCAGGAATACGAAGGCAAAATGAATTTCACCACAGACGCGTGGACATCGGAAAACCACCGTGCATTTGTCGCGTTTTTGGTGCATCTAGAGCACGAAGGCATCCCACTGAGCTTTCCATTAGATATCATTGAGGTTCTGTCGGTGTCTTCTTACTTGAGGGTCTTATATGTTGATCAGAATACAATGACTATCACAATTGTATTCTTTAAGACTAAGGTGCCAGCTCCTCAAGTTCATGGTCAACGGATTTTCTACTTCTCGGTTGATAATGTGGTGTTCGTGGGTGGCCAAAGGGTAATAAATTACTTCTTTGCTAGATCACTTCTTGATAGTAAAGGAGTATATATATTTTGTCAGGTTAACTTAAACCTATTAGGTAATATGAACCTCTGAACTGAATGTGGCACGAATACGAAAACAATGGATTAAATGATAGATTATTGTATAGGCAATCCCTGTAAGATAGTATACAATCAGTCTAGACTAAGTGAATACGATTGTTTTCAAAGGCAACTCGTAGGCCTTCACTTTCTTTGTGATCTCACAGTGTTGAGACAGAAAGTGGGAAAACTCCTGACTTCAAATTCCTACGTTCCCACACGGTTTTGGAAAAGAATGGAAGGGGAAAAACTTATATATTATGTGAGAATGGAGTCCTTATATACATTTTAGAAACCATCCTTACTAAGCAATGAGTCATCACTGGATTGGTAAGATTATGCTTACAAACCAAGCCTTTTGGTGTGCTGAATCAGCTGCTTACTAAAGTACATGAGTAAAATATTACAAAGCATGACGAATCATGACAAAACATGATGAGTCATGGAAAGTCCTTACAAATCAGAATATTACCAGTCACATGACATGCTTACAAACATATCTGAATGGCTCACTGATGTAATCAAGAGGCTGAATAAACAAGAACAAATGGAAAGAGACAGAAACTACAAATACAACTAAATAAATAGAAACAAAGCTTTCATAAGTGAGAAGTATATCCTTTGTACACTCCTCTACTCATCTCCTTTTACACTGCTATTCGTATATGTCATGGTATGAACTCCATACCATGCATGACATTGGTATGAATTTACTTACATTGACGATACAGAAAATGACTTGTTGGTACCAGTCTCACACCGGGGAACAACTTGCAATTGTATTCGAAGAAATGCTGAAGGAATTTGGGATATTAGATAAAGTAAGGCATAAAACAGTAATACAAAACTTACACGCTGATCTGACAAACAGATGTTGAGCGTGACATGTGACAATGCCTCGAACAATGATGTCATGATTGACGAGCTCGAGATATTGGTCCCCGAGCAAACCCCCAACCTTGCAACTGTCATTCCTGCAATGGACCTTATTGATGAGCGGCTGACAACATATTCTTGCGATACCAAGTTCTTACCATCCATTCATTCTGCCATTGGACTTGCCAAGAAGATGCTTGACAGATACTATCAGCTGACGGATAAATCAGAGGTTTATCGGATTGCAATGAGTATGTCAAAAATTTCCGTTTCTATTGACTTATTAATGCTGATGTTTTTTTGGAATCACAGTCTTACACCCACACCATAAGCTATCTTACTTCAAGTCCGCAGGCTGGGAGGATGGATGGATCAAGATTGCAGAGGATCTCATCCGCAATGAGTTTGAGTGGTCCTACTTGAATATGGAGATTAGAGATGACGCTGACAGTGAGGTTGAGGCTGATGTTTCACCAGCAGTAGATACCTCTTGCTCGGTGCGTTGTTTTTCGTTATCATTCCTTTTACTATGACTGACCAACGTGTTCTACTTAGAATATTTTTGATGAGATGCAAGCACTCGCACCACCTAAGCTGACTGCCTTAGGAAACGAACTGGACCACTACCTTAACGCTGATGTTGAGAACGTTTTCTACCAATGCTATCGCATGGTGGCACGAGCACCGCACTTCCTATCCTCACTTATCATGCATGGCACTTGATTATCTTACAATTTCTGGTATGTTTGACTCGTTTCTTGACTGTGGATTGTTCTAATTTGTTTTGTAGCTACATCTGTAGATGTCGAACATCTTTTTAGCCGCAGAAGGCTCCTTCTTTGTCATGTTCATTCACGTCTGTCCACACAGTCGACGCGGGCGCTGTTGTGCCTCAACACTTGGAGCCGTCTGAACCTCATCAAGACAGAGGACATACTGGACATCTCTGCCTTGCCTGACATTGAGGGGGATGTTGAGGAGGAGCTTGAGGACAGGTGGGACAGGATCATGTTGAATTAACCTAGTACTTACTTACATCTTTGTTTTTGAACTATGTTAGTGTACCTGCCGCTATACTAGTGCACACCCGCCACTCGATTACCCGCAAACCCACCACAAGACCTGCACTCACCATGATGGGGGTGTGGGTATACCTGTGGGTGCGGGTGCGGGTGTGGGTGATGCTTGTGACACCCATGGGTACACCCATGTCATTCCCTACTCGGGCAGCTCCTTTTGGATTCATTTTGCCATCCCCACAGAACTTTTTGTAGAATGCCTCGACTAAGCACTGGACAGTACTATCGTTGACCGTCCATAATGTTCCAACGACACTCTTAACCCCAGCGAATTGCAGGCCAGCCGCTAGGTGTATCACTTTGTCGGGTGTCTTAAAGTCACTGACTGCAGTTTCACAGGCAGAAAGAAATACAAATTGATGCCGAGAGAGATCCATTTGGGGTGATATTGAGGAGTGAAAGTGGTTGGTCGTGCATGAGAAAGGCCGGCTCGAAGGAGGATCGACTTGTTGCGGTAATCCGTGCACAAATGAGTGCAGATGAGCCCCAATGGGTCCAAATGAGTCAAGGCAAGTCCAAACGAGTCCAGGCAAACCCAGACGAATGCAGACAGGTCAAGGGGTCAGAGCGAGGTAGACAAGCCAGAACAAACCAGAACAAGCCAGAAAATGAACCTGAGTGAGTGAGAGAAAGTGCAGACAAGTCAGGACAAACCAGAACAAGTTAGAATGTGTGTACACAGGCTGAAATGAGTTCAGTAAGGGTGAGAACAAATACATGCATGAGAACGAAATGTGCAGTCGTGTGTGAGTGAAATATTACTACCATACAGGTACTGGTAAGTCCATGGGTCTGAAAATGTCAACCTGTACCCATACCCATGCAGTTCCCTAGAAGAGGATAAGCTGTGGTGAAGCAGGTAGAGCCAGGGAGGTATGTGGGACATTGGAATAGTGAGAATATTGGAATATCCAAATTTGGTGATGTTTTAGGAGGTAGTACTGCCTTGGGAAGCCTATCCAAATCTAGTAAGAAGTGTGCCGCAAATATGGACTTGGAGGAGGATCCCAATTGATACATCTCAATGATACCTCACAACCACTGGTGAATTACTGGATTAATGTATCCTATTTTTCTCGGTAGTTACAATGTATTAGATGTATTAATATGACTATATGGGCTGCAAAATTGATGCCATGCCAATGATTGGATTGCCAATGTGTCAGGCATGAAAGTACTTGCTGAGGAGTAAGAATAAATATGGAGTAGCAAAAGTATATGTCATTGAAATGCATCAGAGTTTAAATCACAACTTTGCCCCTGTCAATTTCCTGGACTGCTCAATGTACAAAAAAAACTGCTGAGTGCTGAGCTAGTACACTGTTGTTGGTGTTTGTATGTCTGTCGGATGAGTGAATAGATGAATCGGAGTGACAGCAGATTGTTATCATCTTGACAACTCCCACCACTAGTACTAACATACGCACCACATATTCTAACAAAGTATGCCCCGTCCCGATCAGGCATCGAAGAACAGTTGTCTTGGAATGATAGTACAACGAGAGGTATGATACACGTACAGATATACAGCTGACAAGTACAAGTGATGGTAATGATTATTTCCACAACGTCCAGCTCCGCGGCTGACTTTTCGGTAAGTCCTCTCTCACCTTATGAGTCACATATCACTGTTAAGCGTGCGCCTCTCCATTAGCTCCATTGTCGCCATTTCCGTTCTTGTTCTTCCGGCGGATAACAACGTATGTGTCGCTTGACTCGTCACCCGAAACAGCTTCAATGTCCCCACCTACGTGGCCCGTGCGCTCAGGCTCAATAAGTTTGCTGCAAAGGCGTGAGGAACTGTCAGGATGCGAAACAAGACACTGACCGCTCAGCGCGAATCATGTTCAGGTCGTGGGAGAGAAGACCATGGCCGGCTACAGGTCCATAATACGAGATTCCTGCAAGGGAGCCGATGATGCACGTGCCCACGAGGATAGAGAGGTAGAAGCGGTACTGGGAGTACCATTTTGGTGCTGAAAAGGAGGCACGATCAGAAGGGAACCACGACCCTGCAACAAGGAGACTCACTCCAACCCATAGCCGTGACTCTATTATCGGCATACCACAGTGCGGTGAATCCAACCCACTGCCAGAGTAGCGCGAAAGTAGGTTGAAGGGTAATAGTCGACCAAGCCAAGACTGCGGGAGAGACGCCGAGGAGCAGACGGGGGGTAGCCCTTGGACCCGCCCATGCCACTAAATTCCATACCCCAGTGGATTGCACCTACATATAACATGAGCTAAGCTATCGAAGTAGAAGTGGGGTCACGTGCCAAGGAAGGACAGAAGCACTGCGCCATAGTGGACTTGGAAGTTGAGCGCTTGGTCCAAGATGTTCAACGCAACACCAGGGTCCATGTTCGTGATAACACCCATCGTCGCGAGACCTGCTTGGTGTGGCAAGATATACAGTAGTCGCAGACGACGCGATGTATGGGATGCCACCAGCGAGGCCCATGGCAAGATAGGGGGTTGGCACGGAGTTGGCGACTGCAGTGGTGATACCGAACTACATTGGATGATTAAAGCACTATGGTTAATAAGGCGAACGACCTGATCCGCACAAAGGGCGACGTACGAAAGAGTCTTTTGTTGGCTTGACACTGTCTACTGTGAACACGCCACCAGCGATCGAGCGCGCCCAGTCTGTCATTGAGTTCCCGACTTCCTCCTTCACATTCTGCCTCGCGTGCTCGATAGTCTGGCTGCCTGGTCTGCCAGAGACCGAGCTTGCTGCGAACCGTGCATGGACCTGGGAAAGGTTTACGGCTGTTGGACGGGCCGTAAATTGGAAAGAGCTTTGGAACTGCGGAGGACGACGAAGGGCGAGCGGGACACGACGAAGAGTGGTTGAGCGAGAAAGGGTACCAAAGAGTGTGTTCATAGTTGCAGTCAGATTAGTTGGGCTTGGATCAACCACGCCTTATAGAGCCACCCAAATGACGTCGTGTGACATCATACACAACAACACCATGGATTTCCAATAAGCCATCACAATATACTAAAGTTGGAAGCAGAGATTACAGGCATCGTTCCGCCGAAATGAAAATACAACGCCCATTCCATTTTGTACCAGGCCGCCGAGGGTACACGCACGACTTCGGAAGCACAAAAAGATCAATCAATAAGCGATCTACAAGCCCCACAGGGGAGGCTTTCCAAAACACGGGGTATCGCATGGTTCTAGAGCTACAGTTTTGATGAAAGATGTATCAATTCCATGAGAAAAATCCCAAATACAGATCCTCTGTAACGCGCGTAGTCAGCTTTTAGGCCAAAGCCGAGAAGCAAACACCTCACCTGATCTTCCCCGCACGAAACAATCTGCATATATAGTTTAAGATCCAATCAAGCTAAAAATATAATTGGAGGACGGACCTTGGTACAATCAAAACCCACACAGAATATCCTTCCTGTATGGCCGCCGTTCAGGTCAGCGACCAGCGCCCCTGTCTTCCTGTCCCACACCTGTGTCAACACAAAGTTATGAGCCTCATGCAATCCCCGCTATTGCATCCAACATACCTTTATGGTTAAATCATAGCTCCCACTGACAGCAAACTCCTCCCCAAGGGCGACGCTTCGCACAAGATGCGTATGTCTCTCTTGCTCACGCCGTGCAGCTAATCCGTGTGACCCACAAGCATGGCACACGACAGTGTTTGCATCTGGCCGCGGGGTATCAGGCATGGATCGTGTTAGGGAGGAATGCAAAAAGAATGGTGCTGTCCCCTGTCCCGGTATCATTGCAATATTATCTTGCGCATGCGATTGTGAGGAGGTCGAGGTGGGAACCGCGGCTGAAGGAATGCTGTTGAAACTCAGGGTTTGTCGAACCAGCCTTGCGACGAAGCTATATCAAACATTCGCAAATGCATGTCTATGATGAGCCAGACAACAAATATGGGGGCTTTGAAACTCGATAGAGGCAATGCTAAAGGACGTTATCTCAGTAATCATATTCACTAGTGGAAAATCGAGGAAGAGCTTCACCCTCGTGCATGGTGTTCCTCAAATGTGCTGATGAGCACGCCAGTATTTGCATTCCAAACGCGTATGGAACGGTCACCCAGAGCCAGACACTATCACGTCACCAACGACGGAAACGGGCGTTAACAGTACTGCACGATGTGCACGAAACACAAATTGGGGCTTCAAAGACGGAAACCCGTATGTTCTGGACAGTCCGATCTGGGAAAGTAAACCATTCAGTCAACTGGTAAATAGAGCTGTAAGCCAAGCAAAACCTTTGGAGCACGTTACTAGCCTGCCGTTATTAACACGAACACAAAGTACACTGTCAAGATGATCTTGCAGGACCTTGACCAGCTTGTCCTTGCCGAGGTCCCAGACAACAACACGCCTATCACTCCCTCCACTCACGCAACCCAGCACTGCTATCTCGCTCGCTCAGGGGGCTCCTCTCCATCTCCCAACTTTGCAAGTCAGAAGATACGCATAAGCTCAGGACACTAGAATCATGCATTCACCGACCACGCGCCGTACGCGGTCCGTGCGCAGATCCCACTCCCGGACAGTGCGGTCTTTCGACCACCCGTAATAGCACCTGCAGGGTGGGGACCGACCATCAACCCCTGCTGGATACGTCCATAACCAAAGGCATACACTGCGGCGTTGTGTCCACCGGCATCTGCACAAGGTAGTATACGCCTGCGATATGCACCCTGGCAGAAACGATTGCGTAGGATATGTGCGTTGGTGGAGGAGCTTATAGTCCGGCGCAAGATGCGCACTTCGTGGCAAACGCCATACTGCGATGTGATACGAGATATTGGAGTGATGGTAGTTGCCGAGGAGGAATAATGCAGTCGAAGTGATAGGTATGAGGAGATGTGATAGGCCCTGTGCTTCAATGTCGTCAACGTTCATCGGCATGGACGTCCAGTCTGAGTCATCCCCTATAAAATCGATGACATCTCCTGCGCCTTCACCGCTCCCTTCGTCTTCGTCCTCCTCTTCGTCTCCCATACCTTCATCTTCATCTCTTTCTTCGCGAACCTTCATCCGCAGGATCTGCATCGCCAAGCCCGTCCCAAGGGGTAGGCGCGGCAACGTCCGTGCGCCATTCCCAGCCGTGTGCATAGCAACGACGCCAAAGTACTTGGTCTACTGCGAGGGCATGCCAACGTTTAGAGACAAGAGAGCAGGTGAGCAAGGAAGCTGCTGGGAGATGCGTGAAAATGAGGAGAGAAAGTTCTGTGGGAAGGGACTAAATATTAATTAACTAATTAGTCAGGACTGTTGGATCAAAGACGTCAGACTCACCCCAATGATATCGAACTGCAACAGAGGGGTCATTCTGCGCTGCAGACTTGCAAGCACAGAACGAGGGAGACACTCGAGGAGCTTGTAGGTCATCTCTGTGAACGTTCATGCGACCAACAGCATCGCATTTTGGGTGGGTGGGTAGGGGTGCGAGAAGCGAAATGATCATTGTAGTGCCAGATGCAGCAGATTAGATACGAACCTTCGCGCTCCCTATCATTCGATGCCATGGTAGCCAAATGCCAGTCAAGGCTCCGTGCGATACCCTTGCCTTTGATGTCTACCGGTGATCCCGTCCAAATACTACTGCATAGTGGGATTCGTTGCTCAGGTGACCTGTGTTCTTGTTGAACTGCAAGTCAGTTCTGTAGTTCGCTGGTTTCAGAGCTATCCCCAAACCCGAGCTGGTAGTCGCTTCGCTGGCAGTGCTGCAGCTTTGTGAGAATGCGAGCTTGAGCCCTTTGATATCTGCATCTGAAAAATCCGTCCATCGGTGGGACTTATCATAATTTCTGGTGGGGAGTTGATGCGCTGTGGTGGTACAAGAGGTCTGGGTGCGCAGCCAGATGTCTCTAGAGGTCTATACTCAAATGTTGAGGGAAGAACTGGGATGGACCTAAACCGTTACTAAATGGCCTAAAATGGGAAATATCACCTTCCAATCATATCGACATTTCAACAGACGCTGGGGCTGGTGGGGCTGAGATAATCATTCACCGAGGACTCGGAAGCGAGCAAGTCCGTTTAATTATATTCGCTAAGCCCCGCTGTAAGTAAAAGAACTTCGATGGAACCCAAATATTGCGATGTCTACAGCTGCACAGCAAAGCAGACATGGATTTAATTATAATGACGAGGACAGAAGATTCAGCGACATGACCACGACCCACCATAGTCCATGTACTAGTAAGTGTCTATCCCGTAACGCTTTCTGAATCTGCTCATGGAGTCAGAAAAGACTTGGAGCTTGAATGACATCCCGGATTCACGAAGTCAACACATTCTCCTTCAGAGACGCGTTCCCCTTCAGAGACTTATCCTCCTTGAGCGACGTATACTCCTTGAGAGATGCATCTTCCTTGGGCGATGCATTTGCAAAATCTGGCTCAATGATATTCACCACTCACGATCCATTATTCAATGATCCTGTCCTCCTCAAAGATTATACGATCCGTGGTATGGGACGTAACGTTCATCCCTGGCACCCGTCTCCTCGTCACTTGCTCTACAGACGAAAGTATCCCGGATATGCGATTTGGACACGGGGAAACAAGTGGAAGAGCCCTTGTTGGATCACGATCACGAATTCCGGGCAGTTGCGACGTCCCCCGATGGGCGTTGGATTGTGAGTAGAGGAGATAACGGAAGCATCCTGGTATGGGGAAAGTTGCAACAAAGAAGAGCGTTCCGGTCTCATTCCAGGGCTACGAGAGTCAGGTTTGGGGCGTCTTATTTGCAACCAGACAGTGAGACATTTGCAAGTGCATTAGAAGAGGGACAGTTTGCGTGTGGAAGAGGGAGACGGGGGAAATAGTCCTTGGAACACTCAAAGTGGGCAGTGAGGTCAACTCGGTGTTGTATTTCCCTGATGGGAAGAAACTAGTAGCAGGCCACCGTGAAACACACCATCATTAATTTGACATGTTTAGTCTATAGCTTTGCATTGGAGGGTTTTACTGATGCACGCGCATGTGTCAGGTATATCCCTTCTTCAAGATGCAAACGGCTACGATATCTCTAGTGTTCTGACGTTCATTATGTTATCAACAACAACACTGTCCTTCACCTGCGCAGTGATATTGCGGTCCGAAGCAATTCTCCTGTACATCCCACCACGCTGCTGCGCCAACAAAAGTGCGCTAAAAGGCTGTCCAAGGTAAACGATGAACCTCAACGCTCGATGAAACTCCGCCTCATGGTCCTCTACTAGGGGGCCAGAGAGGCAAATCGTCCAAGCTTTGCGACTCGTCTTCAGAGTCAGGCAGGTCGAGATCATAATGATTCCACGGTCGTATGAGGAAGAATGTCTGATGTGCAGGCCTTCTAGGCGAGAATTGAATCAGTCTGTCTGCCGTTGTGATTTGTAGGTCTCGGAGCCCGTCTGCCTTGACATCATAGACAAGACATGTACCCTGGTCTTGAACACGCCTCAATTGGACTTTTGTGAGAAGAAAGGCGATACAAGGTAGTTGCAGTCTGGCGTTCGCGAAACGAGGGGGATTAAGGTTGTCAAGGAGGGAATACAGTTTCAAAACAGAGTCCACAGCCACAGTATTTCGCAGCGCAGAGATTGATGTCTGCATTTCGTCTTCAGATAGAGGTAGCGGTGTGGACGGTGGAGCTTTGTACGACGTGATGTTCAGCCGGGAGACAGCTGTTAAAGTCGGATGATTTTCCAACCCAGTCCAGGGCAGTTATGTCGCCCGACCGAGCGATGATCTCCTGTAAGAGGCGCCCAAGCGCATTTTGTTTATTCTCGCCGTAAACGACATGTAAATGAATGCCGAAGATGCCAAACAATGAATACGCGATATCTTCCTGCAACGAGGTGACACGGCTCGATGACCATCGGAGTTTCTCTCGCGCGCCCCTCATTCCCTCCGGTTTGAAGTGACGAGGGTCTGAGTATTTATACCTGTTGAATCTGCAAGCTCTTGCATGATAATGTCAGACTCCTTGTGATTGGGAGAGCGGTCATCAAGGTAGAGGGTCCAATTTTGTGTGTAGAAGAGAATGATTTTTGGCAGCGAGGAATTCCTGAACAGTCCATCCCCGCGTGTTCCAAGTGCAGGCTGCGAGTGCGCCGGGCTTCGACGAAGGCGGGACGTCTGACAAGTGGACTATCGTAAGAGCTGAATTACGATACTAGACGAACATGGAGTTGACCGATCGTGTGATCTCAACATTGTTATTCTGGTCGATGCAACAGGTGTCGCTCCACGCCCAGAAATAGCCAGCATCACGAGCGACTTTGCAGAACTTCTGCAACTTCACAGTTTCTCCGACTGGATTCAAGTTGTAAACACCTTTGACCTGAACGTCATGCAGCAGCGGATCCCTGCTCCCCCACCTATGTGACAACATAGCCCAACTGAAGTATTTCTCGACCTCTTCTTCGATGAGCCCCGTTGGGACGGGCGCATATGTAATCGATAATGACAAGATCTTCTTGTACTCTGTGGTTTCCATGAAAGCATTTATTTGTCCCTCTTGGTTGCATAAATGACCAGTGGAGGTGTTGAGTAGACGAAATGGGGAATTTTCCAGCCTAGCATAAATGGCTTGTCGAATCGCGTGATTTACTTGGCTGACATACTGCTGGCGCAGTTCTGGAGATATGGAGTTAATCGTATTCAAGTCGGCGCGCAAGTTCCTTGAGGCTTACCTCGGTCGTATGCATCATCCAACTTAGAGAGCATGATGTTGAAGACCTCGATTGCTTCATTATAGCGTTCAGCTCTATGATGCACTCCATGCATCACTTCGTATGCAAGATACGACGAAGGGTTGAGTTCGATGACCTGTACATTTGCGGTATTAGAATAGTTACTACGTAAATGATGGATGTCATTTACACCTTTTCTGCGTCTTGAAGGGCCTTCACATAGGCCTTACGGCGGAGCACAAGAAGGGACTCTTATGAGGGGTTCAGCACGAGCGCTGCCGAATATAGTCCGATAGTCATCTCATAATTTCCCCCGCCAATAGCCTCGTCTGCCTTTGTGACACAGCGTACAGCGCAGTTTATCTTGAAGGCTAATCCACCCCAGAGTAAGTCTCATGCTCAAGTCATCCAAGATCTCCAGCACTCACCAGTGGACCATCCGAGGTACCTGTCTTTTGCATCCCCTCCGATTATCCGCATCATATATTGGTAAGATTCGACCGCCTTGGTCACTCGATCGGCGTGGAGGAATATGTCGCATCGTCTTTGGTTGACAGTTTTGCCATAACGAATTCAAGTCCCAGCCGAAGAGCTGTCCAGTACATCATTGATCAGTAGAAATTTGTTCTGCGACGTTATGGTGACGCACCAGCGCAAATAGCTTCGATTCGGATTCAAAAAGTGTTCTGCGAGAGAACCAGTCGGCTATACTGAGAATACTATCGTTGAGTCGATCGGCGGCTTCGCTGTACCACTGCTCATCCTCAAAATCAGCTAAAGCAAGCACCGCACGTAGACATGACTGAAGAATGTATTTCAGCATGAGAAAACTCATGAGGTCTAGCATGAAGCTCACGTTAACGACGCTGCGCGAACGTGTATGTGAGTGTTGATCAGGGGTGACGATGTCTTTAAGTCGTCGCATTGCTTCATCGTGACAATTGGCACTAAAAAGTGTAACAGCCTGGAAAGAAATGACATCGTTAGATAAAGATGTCAGCGAATAGTGACGAGAGTACCTTGATTAATAGTACAAGATTGATGGCAATTGGATCATGATTCGAAAATACGAGAGAGAGATCAAAAGCTTCCATGGCATCACAGAGTTGGTCATTGCCGCAGAGGGCGATGCCCTTGGAAATGTAGCCCAATAACGAGGGCTGGATAGCAATAGACTATGCCAATAAGTTCAGTCAATCTATGTTCAACGGCATCATGATAGGGAGGGCATCCGACCTTGGCTGCGTCTTGAAGTGCACCATCCCACTCAAGATGTCGCGCCCTTACAAGTGAGCGATTGGCATACGTGTCGTGGCTGTTGCCACCTTCGCTGATTTTTTGGGTCAGCAGCTCTTTAGCGGTATCCAGATCGGTAATGGATGCATCGAGGACCGTCGTCTTTATAGCGAGGATCTACATGAAAGAAGCTCACATTCCATATAAGTAGACGCATCGAAAGTAAAAAGCTCACGTCAAGTAATGAGTGATTGTCATCACCGCCAGATGCTTCGTCACTTTCCGAGGGATGATTGCTCAAACTGCCGTGATCATCAGTTATTAAAGGTGAGAACTAGACACGAGCCTCAGTCACGGGTAAAGAGACTAAATTGGTGTACTACTACGAACCTAGACACGAGCCTATGAATGCATATAGTGAGTACAATGATATAACGAAGAGAGGGAACTAACAATACTCACCTCAGTCACGGGTAAAGAGACTGAGGTGAGTTGACGGTTGCTCGATGTCTTAAGTAGGATGAAAAAAGGGGAAAAGGAGTCAGGTACTGTAACTTGGTGTCTCTGATATATATATGTCACTTGTCGTGACGTCTGGGTGGTCAGGCGGACGCTATAGGCTGCTCTTGACACTCCCACTCGCCGGACCAACCGGACGACAGAGCCCCATCTCCTCTCGATGACGCGCCACGGCCGGACGAGGCAATGCCTTCGTGAGGCTATCAGCCAGCATCTCCGACGTTGACTTGTATTCGAGTTTGATCTGATTAGTGTCGATGAGGCTGCGGATGAGATGGTAATGGACACGGATGTGCTTAGCCTTCTCGTGGAACTTGGGGTTCTTGGATAGGGCGAGGCTAGCTTGGTTGTCACCATAGAGGAGAGGGGGATCATATAGGTCCGGGTCGACGCGGAAGTCGTGAAGTAGTTGGATGAGGTATAGCGCCTCGCGGGAGGCATTCGAGAGTCCAATATACTCTGCTTCCGTTGTTGACGTCGCAACAACAGACTGCTTTTGAGCCTTCCAGCTGACGGGACCACCAAACAGCTGATAGACGTATGCGCTGGTGGAC